GGGGTTAGGGGTTTTTTAATGTCCTTTTCTAGCTAAAAGATTGTTTTGTGTTGGGCCAGCCACTTCAAGGACTTGAGATGTTTAAGAAATGCTATATCCTCTTGGGCAGCCACATCCAAAACCCTTTGTTTGAAGCTTTTCTTGGCCTTCAAGTCTGATTGAATTGGGAAGTGGATTGAAAATCCATATTGGGAGATGGTATTAGTAAGTCGGGCCGCCCAAGCACGAGAAGGCTTGTTGTGCATCTGTTCTTCAAAACAAAGCTTAGGTAATCTTTCTGAGTCCACAGATAGGATCTTCAGCCAGTAATTAAATACTTTTGTTACCAAATGGCTTTGTATGGGGGGGTATGCCTAGATCTGCTCTTACAGCTCGAGTTGGAGTTGACTTATCCACCCCCAAAATACATTTCAGAAATGAAGACTATATCTATTCAAGCAAACGGACTAGAGTTTATTTTATTAATGAGGAAGGGGTGGGAAGAGCATGCCAATGGATAGAACGAACTGGATGGAGGATTTAGGAGTGTCTGGTGAAAACTGCTGAATTATACTTTATTTTTAAAAGGGTAACAGTTATCATGAGGAACAAATTGAAACACTTATTCAGACTGATAGCAATACTTTGATATAATAGAATGTTTTATATTCTATTAGAAATAGAACAGTTTTCAAAATGTTGCTATCTATTAACATATTACTTTTAAAAATGTTACTACTTCTTTGAAGACAGTATCTAAAGTTTATGTTCCTCCTTCTCCAGTTTTCCAGAGAAACTAAAAAGATGGAACCTTTGTTTGGAAGTGCATATGTATTCTCAATTTATCAAATAATAAATTAGGAGGGATGGGATTTCTGAAGCAAATCCAATCCAGAACTAACAATTGATGGCATTCTTTCATGTTACTTCCAAATTACTTCTTTTTCTGTAACATTCCTTGAACATTCAGCTGTATAACAAACACATATAACAAACCAATGCCAAAATCTTGCATACTTTAACTGTGCCTACATGTCAATTATTTCAGTAAACACTTATGAAATGGGCAGGATTATGACCCTAAAACAAAACAGGTGAATCTTTTTCTATACTTTGTGGGTGTATAGAGGAAATCTGGATTCAAATAGCGAATTGTGATTATGAGCAAGTGTAGGCACATACAGTACCCATTGGGCCACTCTCTGCAGTTGATGCACAATCCTTGAAAACACATGTTTGGTTTAAAGTATTCTTGGCAGGTGCTCTGTGCATCCCCACGTTCACTGCAAATCACAGTTTGCTTTTATAGCCATACTATTCCTCTGTGGAAGCTAATTCTAATGGTACATTCACCAATTTCTTTAGATTTTTCTATTCAGTTGTAAAGATAGATTTCTGTAGAAAAAGACTGACTAGCTTCAATCAATCACAATAAACTTACTGTAGCATATCCTGCTGCTGCTCCTTCATATTGTCCAAAATAAAGCCTTTCAAACTTTATATCTAAGGCAAGGGGCACCTGCTCACTGATGGTGCTATGATCTGCAGAGGAATGAAGAACAAGTGGATCAGCTGATACCTATGAAATAAAAAATATGCACACATTAATTAACCATTCTAACAAACCACTCAGCTATTTTAAAATAGCTTCTTCAAATGCATATGTATTATAATTTCAGAATTTCTACTACTGCCCAGAAACAGAAGCAAAAGCTAATGTATTTTACGATGTACTAAATACCTGGTATTTTAATATCACATGAAGAAGCCATTTATACAATCACTAAGCATTTAGTATCTTTTTGAATCTCTCTAAAAATTCATACAAATTAAAAGCAGACTGCGTAAATATGATTACAATTAATGTGCTTGTCCTTTTGATATTTACATGACTGACAAGAGAATAAATATGTAATGTTATTATTTTTGCATAGTGGAAGGTGAGAGTTCTAATATATAATGAATAGAGCAATCATTTATTACTTGTTTTGCTTTGCTTTCAGTCACATACTGTGACAGATTTTCTGACAAATGTAGAACAGTTTCCTGTTCTTTATCATTATTCTCCAGTTCATGGCCTTTCCCAGTCTGGAAATGTGTCTCTGGATCCTGAGGTTCAGCAATTTCTTCTTCTTCATCACTAGAAAGGACAACTGAAATAAAGTAAAAGCAAAGTAAATGTGATGTAAAGCCTGGATACTCACCCACAACTGATAAAGTGAAGTACAGATTATTTGTGTAAACTCATTTGTGTCTGTTCATTCCAAATTAAAAAAAAAAGTTATAATTACATACTTGGCTCAGATGACTCAGCAATCTCTTTATTCATTTCCATTTTTTTCAATGGCTTTCTCAGTGGCAAAGTTTCTCCTTTCTCCTTCACAGCAGAGCTGACTACAGGCAAAATACTTTTATCCTTATTGGTGAAAGAATGTGGCTTTCTTTTGGGAGAAGAGTTTGGATAGTTTTTACTTGGACAGCAGCCAGTAATGTCTAAATCAGTGGAATTTAATGTTTCATTACAATCTGATTCCAAAGGCTGATGAATATTTTCCTGCTGTAGATTGTGCATATGATTCTGGTGGTTCTTGCTTGAATCTTGGTAGCCAGGTGATTGAACTGATTCTGTCCTGTGTTCTTTCTGCAACAATATTAATTAATTTCTGTTTCCAACAATAATCTGTTTTTCCCCCAAATCATTGCCTACGGTTAGGTTTCTTTACTCTGAGAATCACTTGTAAACTTTTATGAAGACTAACTGGTCAGCTTTGTCCATCCCTCTATTTACTTATCATATTTATATGGCTGCCCATCTCATGTGACATAACTGGGTGGCTTACAAACAGGCCATAAAAAACAATTTTAAAAACATACAAAAAATACAAAAATTAATATTATGAAAAGACTAAGAAAAAGATTATGAACAATGGCCCCACCTCATCAGATTACTGTTCCCTTGTGACCCCCAGGCCAGTTGTCACAACCAGGTTTAAAGGGACTTCCGGATGGGAAAGACTGACAAAGTTACTTGAGTACTTCAAGTTATTGCTGCTAAAGGTGGTTCTACAAGCTATTGAATCATAAGGTGTACTTAGTTTTTCACACATGGCTTCTCCATTTTGGCTTTCTTTTTGTAAAATAAATGATGACTTACTGGTGCACAACACAAAGCTATGCAAAGGCCCTCCTAGCCACGACTGCCACATGCTCTTTGCACAGGAGTTCTGAGTCTAGGAGGACCCGCAAGTTGTGCACTGGGTCTGTTTGCGGCAGCGCAACCCCATCCAGTACCAAAGGTGGCATAGTTCCAAAACCGGCAGGCCCAAAAACCCAGTGCCACTCAGTTGAAGCCTGTTGTTCCCCATACAGACCCCCAGGCACTGGGATAAGACATCAACAGCATCACTTAATTTGCCAGGGCCGGAGATCTATAATTGGATATCATCAGTGTACTGATGATACCTCACTCCATGGCAATGGATGAGCTCACCCAGCAACTTCATACAGATGTTAAAGAGGAGTGGACAGAGCACCAAACCTGCGGCACCCCATGCAGTAGGGGCCAAGGGCAGGATCTCTCCTCCCCAATCACCACTAACCAGTATTGACCCTGGAGAAAGGAGGAGAACCAGCACAATACAGCGCCACCCACCCCTAAACTTCGGAGTTGATCCAGAAGGATACCATGGTTGATGGTATCAAAGGCCACTGAGAAGTCAAGCAGAGCTAGGACGGATGCACAACCACCATCCTGTTCCCACCAGATATCAACTAAAAGCACAACCAAGGCCGCTTCTGTCCCATACCCAGGCCTGAATCCTGACTGAAAGGGGTCCAGATAATCCACTTCATCCATGGTCTACCTTCTCTACCACCTTCACTAAAAAGGGGAGGTTAGATACTGGATGAAAATTGCCCAGAATAGTGGGGTACAGTGATGGTTTCTTGAGGATGGGATGAACCAAGGCTTCCTTAAGAGGCAAAGAAATAACCCCCTCATGAAAGGAAGAATTCACCTCTTATAGAACCTATTCACATGACACCCCCTGGGCAGCTTTAATTAGCCAGAAGAGGCATGAATCTAAAGAGCAGGTGGCCAAGCTCACAGTCATGAGGACCCTGTCCACTTCCTCAGGCCCAATAGGTTCAAATTCCCAGATAACAGGGCAAGATTTCGGCTCAGGCATCTCCCTGGGACCTGCAACAAGGCAGGCATCCATCTGCAAACAAATTCAAATGACTTTGTCTGACAGATGCTCAGCAAACTCTTCCATGCGAAGGGGGGTCGCTGAGCCCCCTGTGCTCAAGAGGGCATGGGTCACCCGAAACAGGGCTGTGGGATGGCTATCTGCAGATGTAGTAAGTTGTCAAATGGTTTATTTCATTCTGACTTAGTGTTTTGTGTGAATCCAGCAATTATGGCTGTAAACAACCTAGTAACTGGGGCTTATTCAATAAACCATGATTAAGTATGATGTGTTGTGATTGCTTTCCATATAATGCATGACAATAGGAAGGACAAAAACACTGTCAGGAGAAAAACAGTGTACACAGAAGACTAGGAGCTTCCCAATGAATTGCTGCTACACCCTTTATGACACCCTCCAAAATTAAACAGCCCATCTGTGCTAACTGTGAAGTAAGCCATTTGCTGGAAGTATGAGAGGGACCCAGGCCTTCATAAACATGTAAAGTTTCAAGGTCACTAAATATTGCATCCTAGAGGCTGTGGAAAAAAAGTGGGTCTGGAGTCCCAGTGGGGTGCATGGAAAAACCCATATGCTTACCAATGAATAATTTGCCCCCCCATCAGTATTCCTGCTCCACCTGAGTTTTTACATTTAAAAATATTTTTAATTAATAAGAAAGGAACCCGGCATGCTATATTAAGAAAGGATCTATATTTCCAAGATATCATAGAGCTCCAAATAGATCCCATGGGGTTTCCTAGAAAATAAACATTATGGGCAGGTACAGACCATACCTTTGCGATAAAGTGTGCTTACTTGCCCAGAAAAAGGACAAAGATAAGTGGAATTATAATAAAGATTGTCCTATGGGAGGGAGGAGCCTGAAGGGTGTGGTAAATAGCAGTCTAGAAAACCGATCCTTTGTAACTAGATTTTTCCTCCATGACTGTCATTCTATGACAGTCCCTGCCTCTGTCTAACAATTCTGCAAGAGCTATCAACAAGTTCTCAAAATTTTAAGTGTGCCCATCTACCCAAAAAGTTCTTTCAAACCTTAGAATATAAGGCATTTTGCCTGACTCTAAATGCTTTTGTTTTTGGAGCTTCTATAGATCACTGATACGTTTTCCTCCTCTTTCTCTCTCATGCGTGTGTGTGTGTTCATAAATGGATATGTATGCTCTGCCCTTGCGACACCCAGTTTTATTGGCCTCAAACCTTCCATTCTGTCCATATCCACTATGGACCCTGAGAAATTCTGCCTAAGATGGTACAGATCTTAAAAAGAAAGTTTTCCATCTCTTCGTTTTATGTACTCACACTTGTATAAATTATACCTAACTCTATCACAACAGGTAAAAAAATATATACACTTACCAGTAGTGATTTTTGTGGAGAAGCTTCAATCCACTGGTTAGGGAAAACATCACACCTTCTTTTTCTGCTTTCATTATTCTGACAGCTTGACTTCCTCAAACAAGGAGAAAGATTCATAGAGTTCTCTTGTCCTTTCTCTGCCTTGAGTCCTTTATTCTTGGTGCTGCAGTCTTTATTTAAAATAAATAATAAAATATTGATAAGTCAAATAGAAACACACATTTATTCATACTTCCATTCAAGCCCAATTAATTCCAGAAAACTATCACTCTACTTCTGTTTCTCCACTCTGTAGATTCTAGTCATGGTATGCAAACAGAAACTGAAAGCTAATATGGCAATAGCAGGACATCAAGCGGCTGCTGGGTGTTTTGGCAAAACTACAATCCCCAGCTGCTAGGCTGATGGCATATGAAATCTAAAATATCTAGTTTGCCAGTCACCACATTAACGGCTGGAAGAACATATGAAAGAAAACATTTTAAAATCTTATTAAATAACCTGAAACAATTAGCTTTGGTAGTTCTGAATGCACAGTCACTACAACAGGAAATATTTCACTCCAAATGTAGCACATTACAAATATTCTCCTTCTTTGTGACCAAGTTTCAGATACCTCTAAGAAGGTTGCAAAATTTTTTATCAATAGCTATGGCTTAGCGAAGTTATCTGATGGCCTATATTACTAATTATTTCCAGACCTGTCCTATACTCTCTCTCTCTTTTACCTGCTTATTTGATGTATTTTTAACTACTATTTAATTATTATTTGTTCAATTATTAGTACATAAAGAAAATATCAATTCTGTTTCATTCTATATCCGGATTTACTATAGTAAACTATATTAAAAGTGAAGGTAACCTTGATGTCTGACATTACAATCAAGAATTTTGATGGGTATTTAAGTTCTACAGCATTTGGTGGAACATGATTTTCAAATAATTGTGTTTTAAAAACTTTTGTACAGAATTATAATGCAAGTAATCTATGAGATGGGATATACCATGTAAATGACAGGAATGACCCTGGGGATGAAATTATCAATGAAACTAGCACTGATTTTTATTTTATGATGAAACAATCTGTATAAAACATACTATAATAATACAAAAACACCAATGACTGTGCTGACTTTGGATCAAAGAGAATTCTATCTTGGCCAACTTTATGTTCTATCTAAATATTACAATGGATTAAAAATGTATTAATTACAGACCTAGCAATACATCACGTTTTTTTAAAGTCTGCAAAGCATTACTAAGTTCTGTATCTTTAGATTGTTTCCATTCACATGATCTTTTTGGATATCTTTCATATCTGGAAAGAAATAAAATTATTAATTAATCTTTGTATTTAAAAACAAAACCAAACAAACAAAACAAAAAACACTCTAAAAAGTTTAGCTCAACTCCTTGAGTCTAGCTCAACCCCTGATGACTGTAAGGACATATCTTTGAAATTGATTTGCAATAGTGGATTGCCATTGTCTTCTCTGGGAATTCTCAGAATTGAAGTCCATACATCTTCAAGTCCCGAAGGTTGAGAAACCCTGCTACAGACCAAGTATCTCCTGATAATCACCTATTCAAGTACTAGCCAGACCCTGCTTAATCCTGCTTCACTTTTGAGCCCAGATAAGTACTGCCATAGCTATGTAACATATAGTTTGCTAAATTAATATATACAGTCATGTGAAAAAGAAAGTACACCCTCTTTGAGTTCTTGAAGTAATCGTTTTCTGTATGACTTTATCAGTCTCTCCCATCGTTGTGGAGGAATTTTGGCCCACTCCTCTTTACAACATTGCTTCAGTTCACAGAGGTTTGCAGGCATTTGTTTATGCACAGCTCTCTTGAGGTCCCACCACAACCTTTCAATCGGGTTGAGGTCTGGACTTTGACTGGGCCATTGCAACACCTTGATTCTTTTCTTTTTCAGGCATTCTGTTGTAGGTTTGCTGGTGTGCTTGGGATCACTGTTCTTTTGCATGACCCAATGTCGGCCAAGCTTTAGCTGTCGGACAGATGGCCTCACATTGGACTCTGAAATACTTTGGTATACAGAAGAGATCATGGTTGACTCAATGACTGCAAGGTGCCCAGGTCCTGTGGCTGCAAAACAAG